GCACAACATCCCGTCACCGAGACTGGGCCTCCTCCAAGAGCCTCCGCCAGTTGGCTCTGTCTTCTGCTGCAGCTCTCCAGTTCCGCACACCAAGCAGGGTTCTCGCATCATAGGCCACGTTGTCCAACCATCTCGTCCTCGGCCTTCCTACCCGTCTTACGAGGTGCAGCTCCTCCATCATTATTTTTTTTGGTATTTCAAGGGTGCTCATTCTGGCCACATGCCCTGCCCACCTTAGTCTGGCCAGTTTAATATACGTGACTACGTCGATGTCTGCATAGAGAGAACTGAGCTCCCTATTTTTTCTTTTCCTCCAGACATCACCCTCCTTTACTGGACCATAAATCCTTCTGAGGACTCCTCGCTCAAAGACACTCAGCTTCATCTCATCCCTTTTGGTCATCGTCCAAGCCTCTGAGCCATATGTCAAAACAGGCCGAACAAGGGTCTTGTATATGATCAACTTGGTCTTCTTTGAGAGGTACCTACTTCTTAAGTGTCGGCCAAGTCCAAAGACACATCTATTGGCAGCCGTGATCCTTCTTTGTATTTCTTGAGCCATGTCATTCTTGCTATTGATTTCAGACCCAAGGTATATAAAACTTTTCACTCTCTCAAACTTAAAAGAACCTACCTCAAATGGAGAGTTCAGATCAACCTCACCGCCAACTCTCATATACTTAGTTTTCCTCTCGTTGACTTCTAGACCAAGTGGTCTTGCAGCTGCTTCAAGGCTTATAAACGCTTCTCTGAGAGCCCGTTCAGACCTACCTACTATGTCAATATCATCAGCAAAACCAAGAAGCTGTGTCAGGCGATTGAAGATTATATCTTTGGTCTGAATACCGGAGTCTCTTACAGCTTTCTCCTCTGCCAAATTGAACAATAGACAGGCGAGGGCATCCCCTTGCCTAACCCCACTGCTCACTTTAAACTCTTCGGAGTCGTCAGAACCGACGCGTATTCTGCATCTCGAGCTGTCCATGGTCATCTTGATTAGGCGTACGAGCTTCTGAGGGATGCTTAGCTCCTCCAAGGCACAGTATAGTTGCGTTCTATCAACGCTGTCGTATGCTGCTTTAAAGTCCAGGAATAAATGGTGGGTGACTACCTTACGCTCCATAGTCTTTTCTAGGATCATCCTCAGAGAGAACAGTTGATCAGTCGTTGAGCGTCCTCTTCGAAATCCATTTTCGAATTTTCAATATTAGCTTCCCCTAAATCAGCTTTAATTTTTTTTATTTGAAAACATTGGCCATTTCACATTAATTTCTAATATAAAAGATAGTTAAATATAAAATAATTTGTTAATTTACTAAAAGAGAAATAAAAGATCGTAACGAAATAGTTGTAATTGATGAACCAAAGAAATACGAGCGCACACGAGCTCGCCCGAAAGATAAGAACACGCTCCCATACGTAACATGAGCTTAATATAATACGAACTCCGACAATATTACATAAATGTACACATGTGGTTTTCATATAAGCTATTGTTGTATTATTTAATATTTAATTATAGAGATTACAGCAATATAAATATTAAAATTTGGATATATAAGGGTACTTACACAAATAAAAATACCCACAATCAAATATAAATAAATATAGCGTCTAAAATTTTACTTTCACTTCCTCTTTGTCTGAAAATACCTTTTTTCCGCTAAGAAGAGAGATTTTTTTTCAAAAGTATGGAAAAAATATTCACCATCAATTTTCACTTACTAATACTTCTGGCATGATTTTTAAAAATAAAAATTCAATGAAAAACACTAGAGTAAAAGCACCAATAGCTGACTTATGTAACAACACCAGACATCCTTCTCGAAAAATGGCAATAATAAAATTTCACGACCTCCTTGACCTCTATTTCATATATTTTTTGTTTCTGTAATTTCCCCTTGTATATTTGTCTGCTTCGCTTTAGCTTTAGTCTAGCCGAAAATCACAAACAAAATAATGAGTGGCAAATTAGGAAGGTCCCTCATAGTCCACTTAGTATCCCAGGAACAACCATCTTTCAGTAGGAATACCATACCTTAGGTTTCCCCTTTTCTGTTACTACTCAGATTTATCCCAAAATTTTTGTTTGTTTGTTTTTTGGATTATTTTTGAACTATGTTTTATTTGTTTTTAACTTATCTTGATGAATGAATTGGATATTTAATGGGTGTCAGCTTCTGGAGCCTTATAATGGAGACTTTTGCCAGTAACTGACAGGGAGTGCCTGTATACGCTTATAAATTCCAAGAGATATAGTCAATATAATGGGTCTTAAAACAGGACCATTAAACTTTATCTCATACAATATTCCTCCAATGCGGTTGCTTTATTGATACGATAAAATAAATTATTTTATATATCTTTTTTAAATTAAGTGACGAGTGTCCCTGATGGTCGGCCTCTCCAACGAGCGCCCCCTTATATATACCGACATGAAACAAACAATCCAATATACGTTAGAAATTGCGAGTATAAAAAAATCTGCAGAGAACTAATTCTGTTCAGAGAATCTAAAATCAAATATAAAAGCTGCAAAATTATTTCACAATGGTTTGTTATCTACAAACAATTATACAGATAAAATAACATTGCTTTCCCAGTAACTTAAAAAAAAATAATAAAAGGTGATTCCTATTATTGGCCAAAACATTTTTTTTTCATCATTTGCTAAAAAAAAAAAAAAAAGCATTACTTCAGTGACACTTTCAAAAATCAAAAACCAAAACAAAGGATATAACATTTGCGAAAAATTGTCAGATGTTAACGATTTTTGAATATTTAATATTTGACCGTTGCATTATAAAGGAAGGAGATGGTCCGGGGTGGCAGTCATAAATAGGTTAAATAGTGGCATACTGTGTTCAGTTCTAAGTGAAACTCCTGGCTGAACATACCTCCCTGAAGAAGACCTGCAAAGTCGGGTCGAAACGTAGGCTTTTAATAAAATAGTTTTGCCACTATTTAGCCTATTTATGGTCGCCACCCCGGACCATCTCCTTCCTTTGTTACCGTTTTTTTTAGTAAACTTTTAAATAAACATAGCAATATGATCAAAACAATGTATACTTGTTGAGTTATTCGCAAATCTAATTTTACCAGCCCCCGTAACTTCTTTTCCAGCTTCTTTTCGTTGAAGTAGGTTATATAGGTTTTTCGGCCGCCATCTTGAAAGGAAAGGGCGGACAGTAATGTAGATGTAGGAGGATCATCCTTGGGTGACCATTGACTTTAAATCCAAATTTGAAAAAAATCGGTACAGTAATCTAGGATGAAAATGCGCGGACGACGGACGGACAAACAAGTTTTTATTCGATTTTCGAATTCTACGTATCGTGAAACGAAAACCCCCCACTTTTGAGGAGTTAAGTTTTTTAATTTTTTCGACGATTACAATGATTCATAAGTGAAAATAATAAACCAAAATACTAGGTATTTTTAAAGGAAACATGTTTAATTTCCAAACTTTACGGTTTTTTGGTTTTTTTTTCAATATAAAGAAAGAAAAATCAATGCTCAAGCCGAAATAAAATGGGCATATATATACAAGCACAGCTATCACTATAAAAAGGATCTTAAGGATCTTTGCCAAAGGCATGGTAGACAAATAGGTGTCCTTTTTCAGCCAGGAACAGAGCCTGTTCGTATCCATCCGTCAGCCTGAGGAGTCGGAAGGCAGTTTAGAGCTTTTACACTGATTGTTGTGGCTTTTCTCGATAACAACGTATCCTCAGTGAAAAAACAAAACAAAAAAAAAAGATAATCAATTATCATTGCAATTATTTAAAAAATACAAATAATAATAAAATAAAATCTTTATTGAAGGGAATACTTGTACTATGAACTTATAGAATGAAAAATTGTCAGGATATGCAGTCAAAAATGTCTTTATTGAGTTAGTTTTTCTGATGTTAATCTTTACTCTTATTACTATTATCTAATTTATTTATTCTTATTACAGTTATTTTTTACGCTTACGCTTATATATTTATCATTTTTCTGATGTTATTGTGTTTTTTAATTTTTAGCCCTGAGGATGAACACATGTTTGGATCGAAACATCGAATAATTTTAAAGATATTTTTCACTGCACATCCTGACAATTTGTTATCCTTAAAATAAAAATCTATGGTTTAATGAACCTGAGTATAGTCTAGCGGGGAAAAGGTTGAGAAAGTTTAGACTCAATCCCAGGACTCAGCCCATCAATATATCAGACCGTTTCTAATCTCAACGTTGGAAATAATAACGTTTCTTTATTTATCGATTGAAACATTCACAACTCATGGATGGATCCGTGATCATATGTTTCACTTTCTATCCATATTTATTTCTTTTTGAGAAGTTGTTCGGGAAAGAAGAGAGGGAAGGGGGTGCGGTCAACATATAGTATTATATATTGACCCCACTCTCGACTTATCAAATTATAATTTAATTATCTCCATGACATCATATAATTGTTTCTGGTTTTAAATTATTTCATCTATTTTATTCATAAGTTTTGGAAGATTTCAAGAGTGTCAAACTTCCGCTTAAACCTAGAAGTGATTAGTCGTTCTAAAATCAGCGGTGATCACTATCTACCACTGCTTGATTCAATCAATTGATACATTCCGTTGATGGAATTATCACGCTAAGTTCAGAAATTTTCCATACATAGTTATGCATCTACATAGGGCCATTATTTGCAAAGGCGCAAAATGGTCACCTTCCCAGAGCGCTACTTTTGAAAGGGGCAGGAGTCTTCAAGGTACGAAGAAAAATAGGTGGACACAGAAATTTTAGGGTTTAATAAATTTTAACGTAAGTGAATGATTTAATTTTCAAAAATACATGTACTCCATAATTAACGATTCGGGGCATAGTTGCTTCAAGTAAACTATCATACCTTCCCCAAGGTAACTTTTGGGATTCTGCAGGAATATTTAGTTATTTGTTAATTAACTAGTCAACAAATAATTGAAGCTAAAGTAGAGTTAAGAGCGCGGTACTGTTCGCAGCGGACAGGGCGGACGAGAAGCTGCACAGACGGAGCACGGTGAGGATGGGGATCCGGGTGGTCCAGGTGCCCAGCGGGGCGGAGGACCTGCCCCAGGGCACCCCGCCCCACGCCTCCGCCGAGAAGCCCTTCCTCCTCAGCGACGGCAAGCTCAAGCTGGAGGCCTCCCTCAACAAGGGGGTCTATTACCACGGCGACCCGGTGCTCATCAACTTAGCACTCCACAACAACTCTAACAAGACTGTACGTAGGCTTAAGGTAAGCTATCATCCATTGCACAAACTGCTGCTTTGTTTTTGATTTTTGTAATTAAAACTAAAATAGAAACCAGAATATCCATCCTCTTACCGTGTCCTATCTCTCTTTTACCCATCATGGGCAAAATCTGGAGAAGCTCATCTTAAAACGCCTGTATCCCATCCTAGATTCTAACCACATAATCCCTGATCACAAATTTCACATCCCATTCCACTATCCAGCAATGTCATCGTGTGGTAGACGTTGTCTCCTCTGCATTGGAGCGCGGAATGTATTGCACTGGAGTTTTTCTCGACAATTAAATCTTCGATACTCACTCGGACTTAAAAAAAAAGTTTATTTGGCAAAAAGTATACAATGAACAAAATATATATGTTACAACAACAACACTAACTATGGTATCTAACTATCTACTATGAGTGACAATGTCTGACTACTTGCTAGGCGGGTAAGGGAGGGGTATTTATACAGTCAGGAGAAATATGCTGACTCTAGAGATTTACCATTATTTGGCTATCTTAAGTGACGTTGAACAGGCGTTTGATCGAGTCTGGCATCCGGGATTGCTTTACAAACTCCGTAAATTCCTTCCCCCTACATATTTTCTTATCATCAGTTCCTATCTTACTGATAGGTACTTCAAAGTAAATCACAATAATACCCATTCATCCCTCTTTTCTCAATCTGCTGGAGTTCCTCAAAGTAGTATCCTTGGTCCTATCCTTTACACAATTTATACAGCTGATATCCAAACCCATCCTAACACTGTCATCACAACGTATGCTGATGACACGTGTATCCTGTCAGTTAATAATGATTCAACAATTTCATCCCAAACTCTTCAATCACACATCACAAACCTTGAAGAATGGTGTCAAAACTGGAGGATTAAAATAAATTCCAATAAATCCCATCAAATCACCTTTACCCTTCGTCGTAAACCAATGACTTGCTGTCCTATAGTATCCTTTAATAACACCCCACTTATCCCTGTAGAACAAATTCGATACCTAGGACTCCAGCAGGACAAACGCCTCACTTGGAATCCTCATACAAGACTGAAACGACAAGAAACTGCTCGACGTTTCCGCTTATTCCAATACTTACTGGACAAACGCTCTAAACTTCCAATGAATTACAAACGACTCATATACATGACTATAATAAGACCTATTTGGACTTATGGAGTTGAGCTATTGGGCTCCACTAAACCATCAAATTCCTCTCGTATCCAATCTTTACAATCCAAAATCCTTCGTAAAATCCTCAATACTCCTTACTTTGTCACAAATAAAATAATGCATAAAGACCTCAATGTTCCATATGTTTCAGATTTGGCCAAATCCAGATACCTATCCTTCCATAATAAACTTCATAACCATTCGAATCCTCTTGTTTCTAACCTTGCTCCCTCTTCGATTCCTGATAACCCTCCGAGACGTCTGAAAAGAAGATGGCCTCGTGATCTCCTCATGTAGACAAATTATTAGAGTGCTACCAATGGGTAGTTTCTCAACAAGCGTGTTTCATGTGATAATATTCCTCTGTACACATTTACTTGATGTATTCATACTATTACAGTTGTAAATATCATAATAAAATTTAAAAAAAAAAAACTAAAATAACAGACATATATGTAGATAATGGTACAATAAAAGTAGCAACGCGCTCCAATTACGTCAAACCATTAAAACCAATCTCCTTGACCGTAAGCACACAATAATTCAATTGTATGATAGAAATCAAATATCTATTATTTTTCAATGTAATGATAAAACCATGGAGACCCCAGATGTACAGTAACAAAACGAAATGTCCAGCTCAAAGTTTATATCAATATCGTAGCACTTTGGACATTTATGGTAGTTAAAATGTTCTCTTCACTAAGTTTCATTAGGTTCTTCAAATAATTATTTTCTATTATAACCATTAAATTTATTTGAATTCTTTCTTTTCAGGCATTCATCGTTCAACACGTAGACGTCTGCATGTTCTCAAATGGAAAGTTTAAGAACGTGGTAGCCATGATCAACTGCATAGGAAGGAGCCCCATAGGGCCAGGGGGCAGCTTGGAGAAGACGTTCGTCCTGAAACCTGTGAAGGGAGCGACCAAGAACTGGATCGCCCTGGAGGACTCCTACACAAAGGCCAACACTTCGCTGGCTTCGACGGTGGTCTGCAACTCCCCGGAAGACAGGAACGTGTTCGCCATCTACGTGTCGTACTACGTGAAGGTGAAGGCCCTGGTGGGGGCGATGGGCGGGGAGCTGTCGGTGAAGCTGCCCTTCGTCCTGATGCACTCGCCCTCGGAGCCGGACCCGGGGACGACGGAGCTGGTGGTGCCCTCGGAGCCGACGCCCCCCGCCTCCCCGGCCGCCCCCGCCCCGCCCGAGGACCAGGAGCAGAACACCTGAGGCAGGCCTAAGCGGGGGAGCATCGTCACCGAGCTGCGGCTCAACAGGGCCTTCTGCTGTTTCGCACGGTCACACTGACGAAGCATCGTTCAATTGCCTCAAAGCATTTTCTTATTGTTTCATTGCCAAGGAATAAACACTATTATTATATGTGAACACTTCAAGTGCTAAGGTTAAACAATTCAACTTAGTGCAGCAATTGGCAATGTAATCAATCACTTTAATTCTTCCAGGTGAGAAGTTCAACCATTGTGGAAGATAGAAAGTGAATTAGGGAATCATGGACTAACACACAACGATACATAAATTTGATTGGTCCTTTAAACTTTTAATAGAATATGAAATATCATGTTTCAGAAAGTGCTTATTGTAAAACAAAAAGACGAAACTATTTTTGTAAATGATAACAGATAACTAATATTATAAGGATATTTGGTATATGGATACTCATTTCTACAATCATAAGACCATTTAATTGTTGGTATGATATTTGTAAAATAATTATGACTTATATTTGACAAAGTGTGTCCTACAAGATGAACAAAAAAAGTGGGATAAAGACATTATTTTTAATTTTGCTTATGGAAGTTTTTAAAGATTATAAACTGTGCATAATGTTGATAAATCTTCAGATAAATAAATGTGGACATTAATGAAACACCAATTCCAGACATAATTGCAAAAGTGATAAGTTTTTTATTTCTTTATTCATTTTATTTGTATTTACTTTGATTAGAAATCTAAAAATATGATATTCCTTTTATTAATCAGACCAAGAAATATTTCTAATACTCAATTATGACACCATACATGAATGTAAATAATTCACAAAACTTCCAAGACTAATTATTTATAAATACAGTCCAATCTCAGTGATCCAAAACAAATTGTCGCAGGTGTTTGGATTACAGGAATTATTAGGAAAACTAATTACAACAAATGATTAACGTTCACAAATATATTAACTGAATAAATGCAAGTATAATTATTTGAAAACATTGAATTTATACGTTCTAATATTTTTTTTTTTTAAGAATTCATTTATTTCAATCCATCTTCTTTTATGTGTTGTTGTAAATATTGCATGCAACTTACCATTGAATAAGTTATTGAAAAGAGATTCTCTGCATCTTCAAGTTTTACTGTCATTGTGTCTTATAAAAGATGAAAAAATCTCAAAAAATAAAAATGGAGAAGAGCAGGTAGTGAGTAAGAGTCAAAAATTTGTTACTTGCTAGCTCGCAGTGTCCATTTTTCCGTTGAAAAAACAGTGTTCAAACTACCGAAGTTCAGATTACTGAGATTGTACTGCATACATGCTCATGAAAATAATATAATTGATTCAATTTTCTTCAAATTATACTATAACAGTAACTATCTATTAAACATAATGTTAAAAACAAAGATTTTACATGACGATAAATTTTTTTTTTTTTTAAAAGCTTCGGAACTTATAAATGCAATATCATTTAATAGCCTTGCTCAATATTTAATTTTAAAGGTGAAAAATATAAATTTTCAAATAAGAAGAGAAATTTTGTATATGTTTATAGTTTTTTTTTCCCCTTAGGTAAAATTCAAAGCATTTGATACCTGATGCTGATTGCATTGACTAGCTCACACCTTTCAAGGTAATGTCTATGAAAGGTCATAAATTCATAGAATAGTTAAGAAAAATAATGTGACCAATTTCATTAGAGTAATGAATCAATATAGAAATAAATTGCCTTATTTAGGAGAAATAAATATTGAATGCCATTTTTATATATAATTAATATTCCTCATGATAAAATACAAATATACGTAGTTATACATCTTAAAAAGTAATTTACTTATTGTCAATTATAACTTTGAATCTAGACTTTGGATAAATAGAAAAAAAAAACTTGATATCAAAATTATTATAATAACAAAAAATAGAAAAGGAACAACTAGTGTCAATTTTCAAGATGGTTTAATTGACTTAATGGTACACACTCCAATACATTGTATTGGCAGAAGTAGGTAAACTTTAAGAATGATTGAAAATAATACATTAAAATAAAAAACAAAAGAATTATTAAATTGTAAAGATATAAATAAAGCAGTAATAAATAATTTTATTATTTAATTTTATTAACCCACAACTGCTCACATATACATATGAAATCATTAACAGAAATGTTAAATTTTACAATTTTAACATTTAAAAAAACTCAACATCTTGAATTCAGCCTAAAATCACGGATTCAACATTTTTAGATAAAGTATAAGCAAGATAGCTTCATCCATTTTTTGTCATTACCTCAACCAATATTAAACTTAAATTTCAAAGGCAATTCTCATAAATTTAAAAATGCTTGGTTTATAATCTTTGGCATATTAACAAGAAACGGAATCCAATTTTGATAATCATTAAATGGTCTTAATAAAAATATCCATTAACAAATACAACGTAGTAAGTAACAGAAGTAAAAAAGGAAAAAAGGGTGAAGGAATGAGAGAAAAATTAAATATACATTTTCATGCGTTTAATTATTCCAGTTGATAGAACATTAGAGTTTGGAATGCTTTACGTGTTGAAACTTGTTTAAGTTAATAGTTGTGACCAATTATAAGAAATGCTTCAGCTTTTAAGTCACTCATAGAGTGAAATGTTGCTCTTTCTTCACGTTACTGTATTGGGTCAAAGCTATAACTGACCTTAGGAAATTTTTAAAAAAATAATACAGAAAGCTATAACATTAACAAAACATTTTATGAAGAAAAAAATGTCAACAAATTTATTTGGATCATTTTATTTAAATCAGGATAATATGACCTTGAATTTATTAAACAAACATATCTAAATGAGAGGTGAATTAACTAAAAATGAATTCTACTAGAATGCTCTCAGAAGCATAAAAGATTTACGCTATCAATTAAAATCAGAAGGAAAAGATAAGCAATTATCATGTCAAATATGTCTTATTTAGGTTATATTAGTAATATTGTGTCTATAAGAAATAGAGTATGTATTGTGAAATTTGAATTTTTTCCCCTCTCCCCAACATTGGTTTTCAATGCAATATTTAAAAGTAAATAATCAAAAATGTAAATATCTTTTTTAAAGGATAATTTTTACACTTGGCTAAATACTAAATACTAGTATCTTGATGTATGTTAAATAATATTAAAAATTTATAAAATTGTTATCACTGAATTCAATAAAAATGTATTCTGTTATATTGCCTAAATTATTCTATGTATAAGTAAAAAATTTTAAGAAATGTGTGTTTATTTATTTTTGACATTTTTTATTTAAACCTAAAAACAATAATTAATATAATAAAGTTATTGAATGAATATAACTTTATATAGTAATTTATAAAGAAGATTTAATCATTATTAAATCAATAAGATATATTTAATAACCATTTATAAGTAATTAAGTTTAACTTTATAAATGTACAGTGAAAAAAGCAAATGCGCTGAGTGGGAGAATAAGAAAGGTAGCTTATATATGATCTATATATTACATAGATATATAGGATCTAGAACATTAAAAAAATTATATGACTATATAAAAACCTGTACCACTAACAACCCATCAAGGGTCTTTCTTGGGTTCGGCACAATGTGGTTGAGAGTACTGTTGCAAAGCCAACGGTTGTGCAGGGAGGTGATGGGCCAATATCAGGCTCAACCGAAAGGTTTTCCGTCATAATTAAATATTTTTAATTAAGAGTACCCACTTTATAAGGCTGGATTTGCCCCATGAGGGTCTCCCGGCCCAGGGTCGACCCATGGCTGATGAAAAATTACTAGTCATCAGCATGACTCGAACCTGGGACCTGAGCTCTTGGAAGACAGTGCTCACTCACTGAGCTACCCCGATCCCTATATGACTACATAATTTCCCCAAAAATCTTCTTTTTCAAATGGGCAGGTAAAGCATTCGTGCTAAAACAATATTGATATTTTAAATCATAATTCTATATTTCAATTTGCCTCTAGTAGCAGGTTTCCAATTAAAGAAACAATAAATATGATTTATAAGATGTATGTGTTTTAAAAACACCACCAAAATGGCCGAAATATTGTTTTTGTTTCTTCAAATAACGCAGCTATATAACAAAATTTAATTTTTATTGTTACTATTACTATTACTAATTACTATTATTTAACAACATCCAAAAAAAGAATAAGATAATAACTGAGCCACCAGCCCTTGAAGAAGAACTTCTAGACTTCCAACTACATAAAATCATCCAGGATCTTATATACTACAACCAGAAATATGATAGACTAATATCTATGTGACTTTGTTTGCCAGAGAAGACACCACAGAAAGGATTTGTTTAAGAGAATATTATTAAATATCAAAGAGTTTTAGCCATGTGCATAAATTTACAAAAAAATGTGAATTCGGTTAATTATAATCAAACCTTTCGATATCATGTGATTTTCTTTAATCATGTAAAATAACAGGTTACTATTAAAAATAACTGGCGAACTAATCTGAAAAAAAAACATGGTTTGTCAATCTGGCTGAAGCATTTAATAGGATTAATAATTAAGACATGACAGGGGAGCTTAGTGAAAAGGAAATGCAGAAAGGGCTACAATTGCCATTTTGGGACTCAGTAAGAACCAGAAAGGTGTCATAACAACATTTCAAAAGAATTTAAAATATCATAGAATATAAGATAATTACAGTATGGCAGAGAGGCTTGAAGAAGAAAAAAAATTATATCACTAATTAATGCTTTCTTTTATATTTATTTTTTTCCAAAATGATACATATTAATACTCACTCCTCCTGAAACCATTTAAAATTTGATACATTTCTGCAGCTTCTAAAATCTAATAAGTCAAATTCATTATAATATTAAAATTTTGTAAGTCGATGTATAAGAATTAGAAAACATTATTTTCGAAAAATAAACATTAAAAAAATTAAATTTTTGGGGTACTTAATGTTTTCTGGCTTGCATATTTAATGAAAGCTAATTTCAATACATTTCAAATGAGCTATTACACTATAAAATTATTTTTAAAATCAAGAAATCTAAATAAAGCATTCTCTTTCTATGACTTTTTCCCTCCATTATTATATTTTTTTACCATCTTAAAATTGTTGTACCAATCTCATTAACATATTGTAGTATATTGGAGTGTCTGTTCTGTTTTTTATTTCTTCAATACAATTTGCTAGAAATTCTGTAATTATGACACCTTAATATAAATGATTCCAGTTATTTTCCTAAAATGGGCATTAAAATTATAGACCTATAGTTCCTACCTTGTTTAATGTTTTTATCTGGCATGTGAATCACTAATAGTTCGGTTTTCCTCAACATATCAGGAAAATATCCAGTACAACAGAGACTAATAAAAATTGTTGTAATTAAAATAAAAACTTTGCTGTGTCATTCGCTTACATTAAGTAATTAAGTAATTTGATTGATTTGATCCCTATCAAATCAATCAAATTACTTAATTATAATTTTAATAAATTCTTTTAGGCATCTGGAGGGAGGAAGCCTCAGCTCCTAATCATTAATCAGTCTCAACTTTATTTGTAAAGAAATCACAGTTGTTAGAGTGCTTTAAGAGGGTTCATTTTTATTATCAATACTATTAAAATCCAATACTTTAAATAAGATGGTAATCTGAATAAATCCAACATTAAGAGGTTTTTCAGTGCTATAGACCACCTGTTTTCGACAAAGATTGGTAGCTAACTTCCAGAAAACCTTTGATAAAAGGACAAAGAGTCTGACTAGACTAAAAAACCTTCACAAGAGTTCTGTTTTACTGAAATTTGGAAACTACACTGTAATATTTCTGATCCAACTTGTATAAAATATCATGCCAAAGAACTTCAAAATGTAATGCGGTCTAAAATGCTAGTTAATAAAATTATTTTTCTGATTCAAGATTTTTTTTTAATATAAAAAATAAATAAGTGTAATAAATTTAGCTTTCAAACGGTTGAAGTTGTACAGGAAGCGTCATTTAGTTTTTATAATTTTTTATACATTTCAATTAGTTTAATACAATCAGCAATATGTTTTTTTATTTTACACACACAAAAAAAAAATCAATTGATATATTATAACTAAAGACCGGATCTTCATGTAGTAAAAATCAGAAAAAAAAAACCCAAATCGTGCAGTGCAAACCCAAAATATGTAAAATTGTTTAATTTACACCTAAAACGTGAAAAAACCATCTATTTTGAATAATTTTTAATATTAATACATATAAATCCTATCAAACCTTATGTTAAGCTTTTGAATTAAAATTTAGAGTCACAAAAAAAAATTGAAATGCAACATTGAAAATTTAAATCCATATTACAATCAACTAACAACAATACATTATGTAATACTACAATAAATTACAATTAACCGAAATCTTTAAGAAAGAGAAATTAAAAAAAAAACAGAAATAACGACTAACATAAATAATAGAAAATACAAAGATAATTCACAAATTAAAAAGGCCTCAACTAAGAGAATCCATATCCCAAGAATGGCAAAGACGGTGGAACAACAGCACACCTAGCAAATTAAAGATAATAAAGAAAGAGGTGCATCCGTGGACAAGCTCTAGACGCAGCAGTCATAGAGAAGAGGTCGTCCTCACGCGGCTGAAGATCGGACATACTAGACTGACACACCTCCACCTCATAACAAAAGATCATATCCCCAGATGTCAAAAGTGCGACCAGTTATTAACTATAAAACATGTTTTGGAAGAGCGTCCTTTTTACACCGCAAGGTTAAAAGATCTCGGAATACCCCAGAATATATCAGCATCCCTGGGAAATCAAGAAGAAATCGTTACCAAAGTTATCAAGTTTCTAGACAATGAAAAACTTAATCAACATATATGACAAGTTTATAACTAATGATCCTTTGCAGATTTATTATTTTTTTTTTTTTTTCTTTATTCACTTCATTTTTTTTATTTTAAAAGTTCATTTGTCTATTAATTTCAATTCATTTATTGATTTTATTACTATTTTTTTTAAGTTTATTTATTTATCTATTCTATCTTATTATCTATAAGTGCTTATTGTTATTTTTATTTGTTTATTTTATTCTATTAATCCTTTTATTTATTTGCTCATCTTTTTTTTTTTTTGTACCAACCATCCAAACAGTATAAGTTATTTAGTTGATCGGGCGCTGATGACCTTATGTTTTGCGCCTAAACATCGAAACAAACAAAAAGGCCTCAATAATTAAAACACAAATAATTAAATATATTCGTTTAAATTTCTCTTAAATTGTTCAATTAACTGGCACATATCAGGAATGAGGTAATATAGAAGAACTTAAAAAGATTTAAGATATGAAGAATGAGGATGTATTATTTAGATCAGGCCAATTTATTATAGATATTTAATTTTAATTAAATATAATAGATGTACATACATAAATATAAACTGTCCACATTATAATGAAAACTTTATTTTTTAATCGAGTTGAAATTTACAATGCTATAGATTTTGAAATTTGTTTCTGAAAAATTGTTTCTCCTATCACTAGGTGTATAGCACACTAGGTAAATCCTTTAATTGAGAAAAAGAGCATTCTACATGAACTGATGTAAGGGAACTCATTTTGTAACAAGCAATCACTTTGGTTCTTTGTCAACATCTTTTTATTACGGAGTTTTTTCTAAATATAAATTTTGTCATTTCACTATTGATTTTTTAAAGATTTTCTACGAATGTTTCTATAATTTCAATTTGTTTATTAAGTGACTAATGTGAGTTTATGAATGTCAAATCGAATGTTATTGATAGTCTACAATTCACTTCAAAGACGAAAGGGATACTGAAGGTCTTAAGAAAGAGGAAGAATTCAAGACAAAACAAGGAAGGCAGTTTTTTTATTGAATTATCTCAAGCAAGTTCTATTCCACGAATATTCTCTCTGCACTTGTGTTTACTTCGTCCTTTTGTAACGTTAAATTCGAATATTTACCAGTCATAGAATCATTTATCTCCTTCATATTATTCTTTCTTAAATTATAAATTATAATACTATATTATAAATTTAATATAGACAAGATAGTAAAATAAAAAAGTAAATATTTACACACATATATATTTATATTTATAAATCATTTAATCTAGTAAGAAATGTGCAATTTAATGCAACAAAAATCAAAATCATACAATTTAAGCCCAAAACGGCAAAACATGCATTATACAATTTAAATATATTACTCTACAAATCCTGAAACAGATAGATATTCCGGTCCGGAGTTTTTACATGTAAGCGAATAAAATGTGCAATAAATTAGGAAGTCTTCCAGTGACTTCCTTTAGGATCTCTTTTCTCCCAATTTTGGCATTGAAGTCTCCTAATAACATAATTGCATCGACTTCGTGTTTGTGCATCCACAACACCCAAATATATTGAATAATGAATAATTGTTTGTTTACTTTTGAAGGGAACGAGAACATTACAATATGGTGCCCCACGTTGGGTATATGTATATATATATATTTTTTTTTTGGTTGGCACTACAGACTGTGCAGATCTTTGACCGCGAGATGTGGTCTCCTAGGCCACATTCCGATTCCTGATTTAAGTACACAGGGGTAGGGTCCTCAGTCCTATGGCCGGTCGGTGTGAGTTGCCTCCAGTAGGATGAGGGAGGCCTCACATACCTGAGGGAGGGGTCTTGGGCAACGTGCCGTTCCCTGATGGACAGCCACCCAAATCGGGAGGTCACTCATTCAAGTGCTAACCACGCTCAGCATTGTTTAACTTGGTTACCTATTGCAAGAGCCTTAGCCCACATGGCTACCCCAACCCCATATGTGTGTGCATGTATATATTTATTTATTTATTTATTATTTCAATAACTAAATCCTTGAATTAAAATTTACAAGACAATTAATTTAATCTAATTTGTTGGGTTGCTTGTGTATGAAATGTAACCTAACCTGTCAAAAAACAAACATGTTCAGTTAGATTTGGCATTCCAAGAACAGTGTGATCAGATGATCTTGGAACACACTTAACTTGACATGATAATGATATATATTTACCAAATATTTTAGATAATTGATCAATCGTATGTAAAAAAAGTCAGATTTAATTTTTCAATATGGTCACTGGGACAAGGTTTATCAACCACAATGTTGATGCAAATCAAAAAGTATGGTAGTACTGACAAAAAGTTTGACTTATGCTTTAAAACAAATAAACACACCCTTAACTGTCCTATTCAGTTGTGATTAGAACATTACAAGGGGATTGATTACGACTTATATATTAGGACTTACTCAAACATTTTCAGAATTGCTTTACAGTTTGGTGAAGTAGTAGTAGCATTATATTAGAACCAAAGTTAATATTACATTTATTGATAAAAAATATCCCAACTCACAGCTAAATAAAATAAGAACATTATTATTACTACCTATGAGTATATGTATTATCTTATCCACATCGCTCCCTCTCCAACAGCAGAAAAATAAATTTAAATACTAAAACCTGTTTTTCCATAATTAATTGATAGTGATAGTTTCTGATATATCATATTTTATATATAAATGGTTAAAAAAAATTCCAATAAATCTTTATTTTAAAAATATGAAACATTTTTCTCACCATGATATGCTCCTCTGCGGTTTCCTCTCACTATCATCTTGGAAGGTTCACTACCATCAGGAGTCTGAGGTGCATACACCCTAATAAGAACATACTTAAATGTTCCCTGAGGGTCAATTTCTACATTTGGGATGGCATTTAACGGATCTGTAGACATCTTCCGGATAATTTGCAAATTCAAATCTGCAATGACAAACCATTTAAAGAACTTAAACATGACAAGCAAATGTTAAATAAAACCTTCTCAATTAAACACCATTTATAATGGAAAATAAAAACTTTAACAACATAATAACTTACTAAATGAATTAAATGGTGCTCTAAGCGCCAAAATTAATCAACCACAAGGAAAAACACAGCGCAGATTGTCAAATAATAATTCAAGAAGTTTGAATAGCTTATAAGTACTAGGAGGTTATTGCGGATAAATTGCTGTTATACAGGTTATTTTCAAGATTTTTCAAATTATAATATTTTAAATGATTTTTACATAAAAACTACTCCGGCAAAAGTAGCTGATAATGTAATCAGAGACTGAACCTATTTTCAAACAGTATCTCAATTTTATAGTATCTTCCGGTGTAGATTTAAATTCCCGCGTTTAAAACAGAAACCTTTAGATAAGGTTATGGTGATGTTAATTTGATAGGAGGTAACTGTCATAAGATTCTGTAGTGTAGTTGATCTGAGATGGGTTACAGAATACTTATATATTAATTTATTTTATCGCGTTCCACAACTACACAAACAAATCATTAGCAAATGTTATAATATGCCTGATTACTTATTTATCGTTATTATATAACAAATAAGGACGAAAAAATAAGTTATTTGAGAGGTTTTTATTCATTGAATTGGAGATTTTATTGTTTCAGAATGTTAAAAGGTATTAGAACTCTTAAAATAGTTAATACTGTAAGGGGACTTTGTGTAAATAATGGCAAGAATTTGTCTTCTTCATTTACTTCAGATGCTGTAAGTAAATTGATTTTTATCATTAAAGTTATTTTTTTACACTTTTATTTTATCATTCATGTTCAAATAGAGAAAGAACGAGCTCAGTAATAGAGAAAAGTTAAAGCAGCATCAACAACAGGTGATGGCTAGAGGTTTACCAAAACAGAAACCTATTGAAGGTGTTAAAAATATAATTCTAGTTGTCTCTGGGAAAGGAGGGGTAGGGAAGTCAACTACTGCTGGTTGGTCTACTACTACTTTTTTATTTGTTATTTCTTACTCTTATTTTTATTGCTTATTTTTTCATAGTGATGCATTCTGTTAAACAATCTGATTCCTTTTGTGGTAGTTAATACTGCAGTAGCTTTAGCTGACATGAAGATAAATGTTGGATTATTAGATGCTGATGTTTTCGGCCCTTCTATACCTTTAATGATGGATCTCGATGAATCTCCTCTCCTTACTGATGGTAAACAAATATATATTCCTAAAGTTATATTTGTACTACTTTACAACCCAATGTTTTGCTCCACTTTGATGGGTGGTACGAGATCTGGTGCTACTCTTCAAATGTCTCTTCACTTTCAATAGTGGCACAAGATCTCGTGATCATTCCATAAATGGAACACTGAGAATGGTCAAGTGTATTCGAAAGTAGATGGAAGTGACTGAACCGTCTTCTGGTAAAGCTCAGATCTCAACTGAAAAGGAACAGTTGGGAGTTTGCTGAAGTAATAAATTACAATCTAAATAGAAGGATATTATACTGTGAACATATCGTAAATCTTCCGTTATTCTCGCAATCCCATTTATACAGGAAACATGAGATCTTGGCCCACTGAATTAGGTGGAGTATAATGGTACCCAAGACCTCGTGATAACACTAAAAATAGAATCTGAGAATGGCCAAGTGCCCCAAAGTAAACAGAGTTAACCAAACCTCTGGCAGGGTTGTCGAATGCAGTAATGCAATTAATGCTCTGATTTTAACTGAAAAGCACCAGTCTGCTGTTTGAGTACTCTTTATAAAAACAAATCAAAACTTACATAAAGGTAGGTTATGCTTCGAACATATCAACTCTACCAATTTATAGAATGATCATGGTTCTTTTGTAGACTAACACTTATGAAGTTTTTTTATTTGGGTTTTATACAACTCAAGGAGTCATATCCCCAACACCCAAAAGCCACTGCTCCCTGTCCATCCAATCTCTCTCATGAAGCCCTCTGGCTGCCATGCTTTCCTCCACGTCCTCCATCCATTTCTTCTTTGGCCTTCCACGCTTCCTTCTTTCAGGTAGGTTATGCTTCGAACATATCAACTCTACCAATTTATAGAATGATCATGGTTCTTTTGTAGACTAACACTTATGAAGTACATTTGATAATATTCCAGAATGCTGTATCTAGAACCGCAAAACACTAATAAAATGCCTATATAATGTTATTTTTTATTACTAAAGATATGACAAATTTAAATTTAAATTTGAGAGTTTATTAAAAAAAAAAAGTTTTTAGGAGTAAAAAATCATTACATAGTTGTAACATTAAAAAACAGTGGAGTAACACTAGTAAACCGATACCAAAAATACAAATTGTGAAAGCTAAGCTTATAAACTGAGTTTATTAGGATAGAAAATAAGAAATTGTTTAGAAATGACTTCTCAGTGCAAAAAAGCATATAATATCTTGAACAATGGTCTGGAACCTTATCATCAACAAAGATATTAGCGAGTTCTGAGATTTCAGGTGATTCTAAATCTAGTACTCTTGAATATTATTCATGATTAAAATGGGAATAACGAAAACAAAATTCACATTGAAATTGATACTGTGGATATTATTAATTTTATCTTATTTATGAAAATTTAGTATGTTGTAATTTGACATAATTATGGTTTTTATATGTGAAATAAAGGGATCAGTATGCACTTTTGAAACTCATCTAGCCTCTTCTAAATTCAGAGTCAATAAAAATATAATTTTCTATCAGTTTTCTTAGCTTATTGAATAAGTGAAGGTTAAAGAGAGTAATTGGAAGTCTAATTTTGATGTTTTTTTTATTGCAGTATATTCTCTAAATTTTGGAATATTCTACCTAATAGCCAACATTTTTTAAAGAATAAAAACATCATTGTAATGAAATTTGTGGCATTCAATGATTTTTTTTTCCAGATAATAAAATGATACCACCCACCAACTTTGGAGTTAAATGGTATTGTACATATTTCATTTTTTTTTTTTTTTAAATCTATCATAACATTTGAAGATGTCTGTTTTTATCTAGCATGTCAATGGGTTTTCTGGTGACTGAAAAGGCAGCTGTTATTTGGAGAGGATTGATGGTTATGAGTGCTTTGGATCGCCTCCTTAGGCAGGTACAGTGGGGCTCTTTAGACTACTTAATTGTCGATACCCCTCCTGGGACTGGTGATACACTTCTTTCACTCATTCAGAATTTGCCAATATCTGGTAAGTTTAAATGGATAAGAAATAAAATACAGTTATCCAAATAAAGAATAAAGAAATAAATCTACCCAAATCATTAAAACATTAATTATAATCTTTGTGGACACTATTTCATTTACTTATATTATATGCCTTTTCTCAAAGGCAAAGTTCACTAAAAACAAACACAATATGATTTAAATTCATTTTTACAATATAAAAAAAAAATAGATCTCTTCATCCAAATACCACAAAATTTATTTTTAGTACTCATTGACAGTGATTGCTTCTGATCCATAATTTACCAAAACTTTAAATTAAAACATCTTCCTAATGCTTTTATTAGTTACTAGGTAGAAAATAGATTTCAATTGTTTTTCGCTTAACTGTTTCGTGACCTCTTTAAATCAACAATTGATTCTATCATTTTTATCTGTTATAATTTTCCAGTAACAGCCAAGGAGTAATTCCTTTACTTTTCCAAATCTTGTAACATTAGGAGTTGCTTCACATTCTTTAAATGATTGGCTTGCGAGTTCAAAAATTTAGGAGACGTGCAAATCTGGGATTTTGGTTGTATGATGAACAGGTCATAATTTTTACTAATTACTTGCAGTATTTCAATGTAAAATAATGTCAGTTACTTAATCTTAAACCAATTGTTTTTGTATTTCCTGTAAAATTGGTTCATATATAAATAAATTTTGTATATTTAATTATTAAATTGTAAATTTATTTTAAAATCAAATGTTGTAGGTGTAATAATAGTTACAACCCCACAAAAAGCTGCTGTTCAAGTTACGAGAAGAGGAGCCTCTATGTTGCAGAAGCTGTCAGTTCCGATAATTGGTATTGTTGAAAACATGAGTTTTATCCAGTGTCCGAATTGCAGTCATGAAGTTTCAATATTTGGAGATAATACAAAAGATTTGGCTGTAGAATTAGGTAAGATCAGCAATTGAAACATTTCTCTAAGATATTGCTATTCTTTTCGACATATGCTTAGGAGATATATTTATAACACTCAACTCAATGTTATCTGACATGAAGCTATTACTTATTATCACTAAAAATATTGCTCAGTAAACATGAAGGCTTATAGTCCATGGTACAGACCCCTTTTTATCAAATTATTAACATCCGGCTGAAACTTTGTAAATAGCTTCATCTCATCGTAACCTACAAATATTTTATTTACGAAAATTCTCGGAATTGAGGCGTTTTCAATCTGGAGGTTGGCAAACTTTCTCTAATTAATTAGGTACTAAGAACTCGTAAATAACCATTTGCTTTCCACTTTAATCGTAAAATAACATAAGCACAAAGTCGAGAAAAAATTTTGGCTCCAAAAATATTGAGCCGTTTGGCATATATAACCTCGTTATTTTGACAATTCGGTGGTGTAGGTTACGCCAAACGGCTCAATATTTTTGTAGACCACCTTTTTTCTCGAATTTGTGTTTTTGTTATCTTACGATTAAAGTGGAAAGCAAATGGTTATTTACGAGTTCTTAGTACCTAATTAATTAGAGAAAGTTTGCCAACCTCCAGATTGAAAACGCCTCAATTCCGAGAATTTTCGTAAATAAAATATTTGTAGGTTACGATGAGATGAAGCTATTTACAAAGTTTCAGCCGGATGTTAATAATTTGATAAAAAGGGGTCTGTACCATGGACTATAAGCCTTCATGTTTACTGAGCAATATTTTTAGTGATAATAAGTAATAGTTTCATGTCAGATAACATTGAGTTGATTGTTATAAATATCTTTTTCTGCAAATCAAACATCAAATATAAAAATGTTATTATTTACATATCTTATTTTTTTTTTTAGATGTTCCATTACTGTCCAACATCCCTCTAGACTCTAAAATATCTGTTTCTTCTGATGCTGGAGTTCCAGTTGTACTGTCAAAACGGGAAAACAATCAGGTAAACCTTTTGTTAATTTTCCATTATTTAAAAACATCTTTATGAAAAAAACAAGCATTATTTTAACACAAACTTTGTTTATCTAATGTATTTTAAGTACTTGGAAATGGCAGTTACACCCATCCAGCTTGTCACCATCATCTATGGCACCACAACTAATGCAGTTTCGAGGCCTCTTGCAGCTTAGTCTGCCTGTCTTTTCTATTGGTTGTTGGCACTCTCCAGCTGTGAATTCTCAAGATCGAATTTTCATCCGCTTTTACTCCATCCTAGGAACCTGATCCAGAGTCATTCTAATTTTATGTCGATCCCATCAAATGTGTCCTACTTCTATCACCAGGGCCAGTTATGTATTTGGTTTTATTGATTTAGAATTACAGTTTTGTTTGTGTTGTTCTATTCTTTTTTAAAACCATTGTCCAGTTTGTCCAAAATAGGATTCGTTAGTGTAATTTTCACTATCATTTTATATATGATGTTAGTGATCATATCTTTTAGTATATTGTCTTTGGTTTTTGTATATATTTTTTTCTATTTTATTTACTGGTTTTCCTTAATTAAATTTCTGATTAGTCATATTCATTTAAAGTCCTTTCAACTTTTCGTGTTAAATCTTTAATATAAATTATTGTCAACCTTTTTGGTATTTGGCAAGTTTTGTTATTGTTTTTTCTGGTTATTAAGTATTTTTATTTTTTAAATAATTTGTGGTTAAATTCAGTTTCTTATTTATAGTTTTATTTTGATAGCTATTTGTTATCTGGTTGGTTTTTGATTTGTTTTGATTTTTGTTATCATTTTATTTATTTAAGCTTGCCAATTTTTTTATTCTTATTGAGAAACTTTTTTTTTCTTTTCTTTCACCCTTTTAAATGAATAGCCTAGCCTCAAGCCACAAAGTGCGGTGGTCCCTAACAGGTTGTGTATAATAAATAATACAAATATATCTAGTGTAGGAATATTTTCTGAACAAAATTGAATGAAAATATACTTATAATCTATATTGAAAATATAATTTACTTTGTTCCAGGCAGAAAAATACAAAATTATTGCTCAAGAGGTCATTAAATTTATACAAAATACTCAAGATGTCTAGTTGACTTTTGTTAATATGTATATATTTAATTCACTTTGTTACTAAGGTAATTAGAATATTTATTTATTTTTTGTTTTAAGTAGTATCCTCGTTTATCACTTTAATACTCTTTAATTTTATTATTATGATTATATGAATTTATAATTAAAAATTGTCAGTCACTCTTTCCTTTTGTTCTTGTTTTTGATAAGCCCGATTTCATGAATAATTTAAAATAAGAAATATAAAAGTGGTATTATTTAATAAATTTAAACATTGCCAAATTTAGTATTCAAATGGTAAGCTTTTGATGCAAAGAAATATCAACCTTATAATACATTATGATCTAAACAGTTTCACATGGCTTTAGAACTGGAACTTGTACCACAACAACCAGCAAAGGGTCTGGGGCTTAGTATTCTGTTAGAGAGTAGTTTTCTAGGCCAACAATTGTGTAAGAAGGTGGTATGGACAGGATCAAATTTAACCACCAAGTTTTTACCATTAATTAAGGCTGGATTAATAGAGGCTGTATGTGTTCCATAATGATCTCTCAAACCTGAGAACAGAAGGATAGGAGCACAGTGCCTTCCTCACTGAGCTACCCCCCTCTCCTAATTTCACAAAAATAAAAAAATGAAATCATGTGTTATAATAGTTGACCTGACCGTGTGTTAAGTCATGGAGATGGTCAAAGTGACGGTCTAAGAGTTAACAAGAATGTCAAAACTGGTAATGATAACTGTTTATTAAACACCAACTTATATTATAAGTCTTATTAAATCTGAGATTGCATTTAAGCTGATCTGAAGGGACTGGGTTTGAACAGAGACCAGTGGAGGGAGATGCTAAGAGGGAGTAACTATTGATTGATAGTGTCGGCATCATACCTTCGGGTTCGCTAAGCCATTATTATTATTATATTATACTATTAACCCTTTGACTGCTGACGGGATACATGCCTTCCCGTTAGGAGTTGGGTCACTAGTGCGGCCGGGATATATACCATCCCACCTTGCCTGCGCCACTCAAAAGGTAGCGGCAAGTTTGTATTGTTGCCAGTTTTTTTTTGCAATTTTCTTTCATTTTATTCTTTTTGTATCTCTTGTGTTTCTTTTTATGCTTAAACAATAATATATCATTGTTGCTAGAAATTATCCTATTCTAGTAGGCCCGTGCGAAAAATTCACACAGCATATTGTTATCAAATGCCAAATTAATAAGAAAAGAAAATAATGCAACGTATCAAAAGATAAAGAAATCAATTGTTACTTTATCGATAACTATAATCGACAAAGGAAGTAAAAATTAATTTAATTCTTCATTAATGTTTGGAACCAACATGTTTACAAATTTCAATAAGCTTTGAGAAAAATTGTCCGATTTCTATTATTTTTTTCCTTTTGTAGGGAATTTAGTAATCTTATCATGGGTGTAACCAAGGGAAAAGTGTGTTATTTTTTAGTTGTTCGCAAATAAAGTTTGCTTTCTTTCATAACTTGTTTGCCTGAATTTTCAGGGTGATTGGACTATTTTGCCCGCCTGAAGGAGAAGAAAGCCATCGAAATTGGTGGCTCAATCTTGAGATTTGGTGAAGAATTAATAATGATATGTCTTGCCAATCAAAAACACCATCGATAAATAATATAAACTCCTCCTCTCTCGATGATAGAGGCCTCAAGTCGACGAAATGAGACATGTATTCAATGATAGTACTACAATTAACGTAAGGTTGTGTGGATGCGAACCCTATGCCTTGCGTTATCTCAAAACTATTACGTTTTTGGGCTTAAAAACGCAGGATCCTAAGGTACTATCCGGGTCTTTGCTGTACGCATCAAAATCTTTAAGGTTCAATTTGTCCCGTATTGATCTACAGACCTACCACCATTCCAGCATTGAAGCTTAGCAAAATGTTTGTATCGACTTTAATTATTTTAGAAAGAAAAAAAAAAGTGGAGAATACGATTCGCTAATCCCCCATGAAATTCTGAATCCAACTGTACCCCATTCATGGTATTTGAGTATGACAGGAACGTATATTTGGTACAAAACCGATTTCGAGCCTTACTCTAATACATGTGGGGGTATTATTTCTAAAAGGTCAGTACGCCATAACTTTGTCAATTTTCATCAAATCCAATGATTGACCACTCATTTTGAAGATATTCTTCTCCTTCACATGCGAAAAATAGTCCTATTCCTCCGAAATTTCTGAAAAAAGTTATGAAGGAAAAGAAACTTTATTTGCGAGTAACTCAAAAAGCATTTTTTTCTTGATTGTACCCATGATAATTAGAAAGATTACTAAATTATTATCTTTCCAGTCAGCGTTTAAAAATAGGCCCAAGCAAAGCAATTTGTACAAATATTTTGGTCTATTATGTTAAATGGAATATTGTAAACGACCAAGGAAAAAACATTAATTTCTTCCTTACATAATACATAGGATCTACTTATTTCCATATTGTTTTGCTATTTCTTCACTAAACAAAATTTTCTGTGAATTATTCATACGGCCAAACTAGTTGTATATAGAAGATTGATGATTCATTTTGAATATAAATTTTTTATTTTTCATCCAAATTTAAAAACTCCTAAACTGATATACATAAAGATCCAAAATGCTTCCTGTTCTATTACTCAATTATTCCTGAAATCTTGAAGAAGAAAGAATGTATTCATCATTAGCTGTTAATTTTTTTTTTTTTTTTTTTTATTGGTGATATTTACAACTGTATTACAAGTAAAAATACATTCAGTAAATGTGAACAAAGGAATAAAATAGCATGAAATCACATGTTGAGAAACTACCCATTGGTAGCACTCTAAAGCTGTTAATTAAATAAATATTTTTGTTGCATAAATTTCTTTATTAATTTTTACATCATTTCACAGTTTATGTCTTTCTTTCTGCTTTATTATGCTGCTAAAATTTAGTGCAAATTTGTCCTGAAAAAACAATTAATAAATATTAGGAAACAGTTCACGATGTAACAATGGAAATATTTCTTGTTGTTTAGTAATATATTTTCTTCATGTTTATAAAGTAATATTCATAATTCGTAAAACTGTAATTCAATTTTTTACTTAACATTTTATATTAAAGATTTATTGATAAATTATTGCTATTGCGTTAGTGGTACTAGTCTCTTGCTATACCACTTGGGGCTTAGTTTTAGAGATATAAATATGAATAAACAGTTTAAAGTTGTAGCTGCAACATTAAATGAAGTATCAAAGGTTGGCAATGGGAGGGAACGTATTGTATGGTATCGTATAAAAGATAAAACGTTCGATTATTTTCCAACAGTTTTCAATTATGCATATTATAGTCATATAAATTAAGCTATGAGGATAGAAAATTGAATTTTAGTTATTAAAAGTTTGATAAATAAAAAAAGTAAACTTACCTTCTGTCTGGACATTTATAAATTCCAAGTATTTAGTAAATGGAACGAGTGTATGTACGATTGGCATTGTACTTTCTTGTTCTGGTCCCATTGAGACTATTCCAAGCAGTGTATAGCCCATTATCTCTGAATCCCACCACAGAGCTGGTCCACCTGAATCTCCCTGCAGTTAATTACTTTATCAAATTGACTATACTGTAATCATTCTGAGGGGACAGTGTCCCAGAATAAAGTTTCTTTTTCTATTCTATTCTAAACAGTAGAAGGGAATTGAGGTAGGAACATAATTGTGATTGGTAAAATAAAAGGAAGAAAAATAAAAAATAGTGCGCTGATAATTTTAAAACCAAAAACACTAAAATGATTTAAAATAATATTTGAGATAAGAGGTTCTTTTTCCTAATAAAAAAAAACTCTTTTTGATTATTTTTTTAAATCATTGATACATTTTTTTTTTGATAATTAGGGTATACAAATCTAATAACTTTTAGTTTTAAAATTTGATATTAATACCATAAATTTTTAGTTCTGTTTGTTGGTCAGCGATTTGTCTTCCTTATATAGAAGATCAGTAAAAAATGTGCCTTTGAGCAAGGTTGTTGGTTTTTTTATAATACAGATTTAGCATTGTACTGCTTGATTGTTCTTATGAAAAGAAATAAAACCTATAGATAAGCCGTTAGTTTTCAGCTGTTTCCTGCTGTTCAGTTTCTATTTGATATATTTCAATTTAGATTGGCTATTATATTGACAATGAGCAATGAAAGCCTATTAATCTATTTGAACCACATAACTCCAGTCTTGGAGTTCGAAGAAAGGTTTGAAATTGCATGTATATATATATATATATATATATATATATATATATATATATATATACATATATATATAATGTATAAATATTGTACTATTTTGCAAAAATTAAAAGATCCTAATCTGTATCACTTTATACAGTTTTTGCCCTCTAAAATTTACCGAAATGGATTTACAAGGTTTCGTTCTCTGCCGCTGATATGTTATATTTGTTGGAATGTCAAATATCTTATAGATATGTTAGCTAAACTTCACTCATTCCAGATTCATAATCTAATAATACTCTAAAATTCTGCTGTATTACCTTGATAGGTCCTTTTCCTTCATCATACGTGCAGAACTGTTTTTCTTCATTGATATGTGGATATTCCTTCATGCATTCCTTTATATTTACCACATGTGAATCCACTCTTTGTAGTTTCCCGGAAAGTTTATGCGCAGCTTTTGCCCATCCTATTCAAATTTTGGTTCAATTAACATATCTTAAAATTTAATATATTTTTATTTTAATACCTGCCTAAGATTCGAACAGTATTCGGCAGTACTTCTTTTCCCAATCCATAATTAGGTAGACAAACTGGACCAACTTTTCTGTCCTCAAAATGTAGTGTTGTGATGAGGGTAAGAATTGCAATATCGTTACGATTTGTCTTTTTATCAAATCCATATCTTTCTATGTCTGAGACAGGAATAAAATCTGATGGGCCTGAAAAATTAATTAATATTTTAGTTTAACTGGACGGTTTGAGTTTAAGGTATGAATCTTATTTTTAATGAATTATGTAATCATTTTAGTTGCACTGTGTTTCTCCCATGCCATCATGTCCCATTTCTGTGGAAACAGTATAGTTACTATACTGTAAAATGTCCAAATTACAGATACCCTAATTCCATTCATTTTCCATAATTTGGATCCTGCAATTCTGTATTATGACAAACATATTAGTTTCTTATTATTTTTCTTTACAATGAACTAAATGTAGATAAGTTGACATTTCATGGCAATGACACACTTTCAAACACAATAGTTGGTAATGTTTTATAAATTATTTAGAATTAATATATATATATATATATATATATATATATATATATATATATATTATTATTAGTATTATGGTTCGGTACTATTTAGGAAAAGCACTGTTTCTAGGTCAACAGTTGTGTAAGGAGGTGATTTGACCGAGATCACACTCAACCGCCAGGTTTTCCCCCTTAATTAATTATTTAATTAAGGGTACCCATTTTATAAAGGCTGGGTGTACCCCAGGAGGGTCTCCCAACCCTGGGTCGTCCCACGGCCAATGAAACAGATAAATGAATTTTCTGCCATGAGCCGGGGTTCGAACCAGGGACCTTTGCATTGGAAGCTCAGTACCCTATCACTGAGCTACTCCACTCCCTATATATATATATATATATATATATATATATATATATATATATTATTTAATTCTATAGTAGAGAATGTGTTGTGGTCTAAAAGCCACATAACCAAAATAATGATTGCCACGTCTTCTAAAGTTTTGGGTGAAATTTTTTTTTATAGAAAATTATTTGTTGGATTTTATTTATTACTATGTCTAAAAAAACTTGATTTATTGTTTCACTAGTACTCTCATTGGTTTTTTCACCTCACTGAAAAGTTTTCCAAATTGGATATGTGCTCTTTTTAAGGAAGCTACTCAACTATTTTTATCCAGAAAATGGTCAACTCTTTCTCACAAATTCTCTGGTCCATGGCCATAGCCAATAAGTTTATAGTTTAGTGATGGCCACCTGGCCACCTTTTTTTATTTTTTTTTTGTTCTTCGCTACCTCGCCTTTTAGGCTATACGGGATTTTCCCGGGCCGGGGGATGAGGGGGGGGAATTTAAAATCCCATCCGGCACAGGGAACGCGAACTCGTACTTTTTTAATCTTCCCAAATCTGTTTATCCGGTTGCCAGGCAACTCGCGGTGCTGTGCACACGCTTTAGCCCATTCGGCCACCCCGCCCATCTGCACCTGGCCACCTTAACTCTTTCTAAGTCTTGCTTTTAGTATTGAGGAAAGCCTGATATCGGCATCAAACCAGGAATAAATAATATTTATAACTATCCTTACCTTTGAACTTCTGTTTTATTTTATACAGGGGAACATTTATTGCTTATTACCCTTAATCATTGAGACCGATGTTAATTTTTATTTATATAACTATTTCAACCATAAATTATTTATTTTAGTGATTAGAAGAATTCATGATTACGTTATATGCACTTAACAGACCTGCTTGGGATAAATCTGTAACTCCAACCAGCACAAAATAGTCGGAGGTTTCATCTACACAGTGTGCTGCAGTAATCACTTTTGAAGAAGTGATGATGGTGGCCCCACAGATAGGTTCCTTCTTCCAACTAATCTTTCTGTAAACTGTAGCCATAAAAGGATACTGGGCATTAACGTCATCACCTCCAATGACATTAGTTGTTGGCTGAAACCAAGATGCTCATAGTTATTAGGTGTGCTGGTTACTCTGATACAGCAAGAAGGATGTACATTATCATCAGCAAAATTTAAGTCAACCTTTTCACACCAAACAACCATAAAAAGATTTATTATTTATTAAATATCGTTTCACTTATCTATATATTTAATGTATAGTAAGTGTAGGTATTGCAATCGTGAAAATTTTCGAGTCTGAGTTTTCAACAGAAATACACGTTTTGAGATACCCTCAGTCCAAATAATCAAGTCCCAAAAAATGGTCTGTGTGTATGTGAACACTTCTTTTTGAGAGGATCCTCCCGTATTCTGAAAAGGAACTGGGGAAATATCAGGCTGGATTTCGAAGAGGACGCTCAACGACTGATCAACTGTTCTCTCTGAGGATGATCCTAGAAAAGACTATGGAGCGTAAGGTAGTCACCCACCATTTATTCCTGGACTTTAAAGCAGCATACGACAGCGTTGATAGAACGCAACTATACTGTGCCTTGGAGGAGCTAAGCATCCCTCAGAAGCTCGTACGCCTAATCAAGATGACCATGGACAGCTCGAGATGCAGAATACGCGTCGGTTCTGACGACTCCGAAGAGTTTAAAGTGAGCAGTGGGGTTAGGCAAGGGGATGCCCTCGCCTGTCTATTGTTCAATTTGGCAGAGGAGAAAGCTGTAAGAGACTCCGGTATTCAGACCAAAGATATAATCTTCAATCGCCTGACACAGCTTCTTGGTTTTGCTGGTGATATTGACATAGTAGGTAGGTCTGAACGGGCTCTCAGAGAAGCGTTTATAAGCCTTGAAGCAGCTGCAAGACCACTTGGTCTAGAAGTCAACGAGAGGAAAACTAAGTATATGAGAGTTGGCGGTGAGGTGGATCTGAACTCTCCATTTGAGGTAGGTTCTTTTAAGTTTGAGAGAGTGAAAAGTTTTATATACCTTGGGTCTGAAATCAATAGCAAGAATGACATGGCTCAAGAAATACAAAGAAGGATCACGGCTGCCAATAGATGTGTCTTTGGACTTGGCCGACACTTAAGAAGTAGGTACCTCTCAAAAAAGACCAAGTTGATCATATACAAGACCCTTGTTCGGCCTGTTTTGACATATGGCTCAGAGGCTTGGATGATGACTAAAAGGGATGAGATGAAGCTGAGTGTCTTTGAGCGAGGAGTCCTCAGAAGGATTTATGGTCCAGTAAAGGAGGGTGATGTCTGGAGGAAAAGAAAAAATAGGGAGCTCAGTTCTCTCTATGCAGACATCGACGTAGTCACGTATATTAAACTGGCCAGACTATGGTGGGCAGGGCATGTGGCCAGAATGAGCACCCTTGAAATACCAAAAAAAATAATGATGGAGGAGCTGCACCTCGTAAGACGGGTAGGAAGGCCGAGGACGAGATGGTTGGACAACGTGGCCTATGATGCGAGAACCCTGCTTGGTGTGCGGAACTGGAGAGCTGCAGCAGAAGACAGAGCCAACTGGCGGAGGCTCTTGGAGGAGGCCCAGTCTCGGTGACGGGATGTTGTGCCATACATGAATGAATGAATGTATGTGAACACTCTAGCTCGAAAACGAAAAGTCGTGCAAAACTGATATTACTTATTTAAGATAGGTATATACTTTTGATGTCCTAAGAACTTTTCCCTTAAAATCGACTAACCGGAAGTGCCACTCTATATCAATGGTGAAACACATTTTTACAATTTTCTCAAAAAAAGTTCTAATGATTTAGATTAAACTCGGTGTATTGCATTGTATAATTAAGTGGTCTTTAATACCATTTAGGTCTTATCCCCGTTGATGTCACTTTACAAGGCTTAAATGCCCAATGTTCATGTACGTCTTCCTCTAAAGTACCTTTGATATGATTCATTTCAAATAATTAACTAACTATCTCTCATTATTAAAAGTTACAAAAACAATGCTAAATATAACTTTTAAAACAATTTGATAATTGAATAAAGGGAAAAAAAATAAAAATGTTTATCCAGGTCGAAAATGAATCTCACAAAATAGAAAGTTGTAGAAGGTAACGGAGAGTGGCAAACAAATTTATGAAAACTAATAATATTTAACGTAAATCACATGTTTTCAAGGAAATTAAATGAAGTTTACCAACTAAATGTAAACTTTACAACATATTTTTATGTTTGTAAAAAGTATTTAAAATCCACCTAATCAAGGCACTGGCATTGTTCAAAAAACTATTTCATTATTCTTGTGTGAAAGAAGAAGTAAAATATAAAATCATTTCATGGATGTATAAAGCATATGTTCACAACCTTAAATACATTTATTGTAGTTTAGTGATTATAGATCTGATATTATATTTAAATAATTAAGTATCAACGTTTATTCCGAAAAACTGTCATGTAACTTTTTAGAAAATTAAATTAGTGAATAATTTGATGAATTTTCCCTTTGTGAAATCTTAACATTATGAGGTCTTCCTCTAAAGTACCTTTAATTTGGTTTATTATTAATAATTACTATTTATCATTGTTAGAAGTTATGGAAAAATGCTAAATATAACTTTAGAAAGAATTTGATAATTAAATAAAGAAGAAAAAAAGAAAAATGCTTATCCAGGTTGAAAATGAATATTTGGAAATAATAGTCAGAAGGTAAACTAATTGTATGTTGAATGGACTCATCATTATGACGTAATTGATTACTTCATCAAATTAATTACCTATTTAAGAAGAGTTTTAAGACCACCAGAAATGCATTTCCATGATTAGTGTGCTTGAAACTAATTTGTTACGTTCACTTACCCATATATGAAATATATAGTTAAAGAAAGTATGGTAAAAATATTCGAATCTCAGTTTTCATCGGAAATACAAGTTTTGAGGTCCCCTGAGTCCAAATAAACAAGTCCTGAAAAATGGTCTCTGTGTGTTAATAGTTAAGCTCAAAAACGAAGTCGTAAGTGAAATTAAATATTTAAGGTTTTTATGTGCTTGAGATCACTAGGGGATCCAGGATTTAATTTTGGGGGGAGGCTTCAGTCTGAAAGCTTTTTTTTTTCATAAAAATATGGATAATCACTTTGGAAAAAAGGGAAGAAACTAACTACCTATATGAAATGGTGTTTAAGTGATTCCTAAAGTCCTTTTAAATGTAATTACACGAACAATAATACTTTAATAGATAATATTTTAATATTTTTTTCCATAAAACATGGTTTTATTTTACCATTTTGGAGGGAGAGGGGGAGAGGAGCTTCAGCCCCAAAGCCCCACCCCTGCTTGAGATGATGTTACTGCAACTTTTTTTTTCAAAATCAGCTAACCGGAAGAGGAACTTTATATGGTGGACTTAACATTTTCTCTAAAATGGCTCCAACGATTTTGATTAAATTCATCAAATCGGTGTAAAATTAAGCAGTTTTAAATATAGTGCAGGTTTTATTCTGATTGATGTTCTCTAACAGGGCTTAAATGGCTAATTTTCAAAATGAGCTTCTCCTAAAGTACCTTTATTTTTTTTTTATTTGAAACAATTGACCATTTCACAATTTCACATTGATCTCTTATATATATATATATATATATATATATATATATATATATATTTTTTTTTTTTTTTTTTTTTCCTACGTTTTTTTTGGGCCTAAGTAATGCCTGCTTGATCAGCCATGGATGCTCTTGCAGTCCAATATAATTTTGCTCTCCTAGGGTAAGGGCTGTCCATTCCTCTAAAGGAACATCTTATGGCTTGTAATGCAGGGCATGTATCAATATGTTCTCCTGTCATAATATCCAAGGAACACAGAGGGCATATCTTTTATAGCATGTCAGACTATCTTTTATAGGGATGTGGTGGAGGTGCTTCTGAATGAAATCATGCTCTGTGAGCATTCTAAAGCATGCCAAGGCTTGCCCTCTAGGGAACAATATAAAAGATAGTTAAATAAGAAATATGAAACAGTTCGATAATTATCTAAAGGAGAAATAAGAGATCGTATATTTCTCGCCGATCTCGCTCTAAAGATTAGAACAGGCTACCATGCATAGTATGAGCTTAATATAATAGTTTCAACAAAAAAGGTTTCATTGAAATCGGTGACCCCGCGTCCGTAACCTCCCCTTGTTAGTGATTTTTTTTGAAATAAACCTACAATATTTTTATTATATAACCTCATTTTTTAATATTGTAGCTAAGGAAATCAGAATAATATGATATTCACTATTATTCATGTTCAGGAAAATGAATCATGGCAACTACTTTGAAGTAAGCAAGATCGCAACTGACATAATATTGACCCAATACAATTGACTGGTGTGAGGGATTTCCATCAATATATATATATATCGCTTCAATAATACTGACTCCATAACATTGATCGTGTAAGGGACCTTTAAAATGAAATAATCACAAATATATAGCTTTATTTTCCTGTGTGCCGTTTTGGCTTCAGTTTAGGCCTTCTGTAGAGATAAAAATTTAGGGAATTGATTTTAAAATTATCTAAATAATCATGATGTTTTATCATATTTTTTATCTTCTTATATAATAGTTTAACTGTTTCTTACCGGTTGCTATGTCGTGTTTTACGTTATTCTTATAAAAATATCAAGGTGCGTTTAGAGATTTCACAATCTATGCAAAAGACATTTATCTAACTTAGAGACCTTATTGTTGAACTGGACTATTTATTTTATTTCTCTTGGTACCGACAGTAGGTGGAAAATATCAAAAACACGAAACAAAAATACGAGCATAGTGAAATAACCATTTATATATTTGTTTGTGAAATGTATAAACGTGCCTATGAAATACGTATAAAAGGAAATTAAGCCTTTTTATTTATGTGTACTTGCATCTTTAACTCCTAAAATCTTCTATTTAATCTGTGGTCAGCCATATCTCTACTATTCATATTTGCAAGTCCTGATAGCCATATCCAACAAAAAGAAACATCTTGAAACCTATAATTATCGTCGAAAAATCTTAGTATCAATAACTCTATATGTAAATTATTAATACGACCTGAACATAATTTTATCTCTAAATTTAAATAATAGGAATATTTCGGTCGTAATTAAATATTTGCGTATTTACTTCTAGGCGTATTAGCCTAGCCAGCTAATCGACTTATTCTATTTCTAGAAACTGTTTACCATTCTGATTGAGCTGGGAACACCAAATGTATGACGAAAATATTCAATACAGTTAGAGTCTGTATTTATTTTTACAAGATGTTAAAGGTCGTTGGGGTTTGAAGTAAGGTGGTTTGCTTTTCTTTCACTTGTCCTATTTTATTTAGGCCTAAATTATGCCATTAGAGGAGTAATGTGTTCCGGAAAATGCGTTGGATTTGGGTGGGAAAATATCTGTATCCATGTAAGCCGATTATTTCAGAAATTTAGGCGGTACGACTGGTGGCTGATAATTCAGACGTTGGATGGTGGATGGATCTATGCAGACAACAGCGATTGATGTCATTGGTAGCTAGCCTTTGGGCTCTTAAGCCTATATTACTTTTATTTCCCCTTTATCCTTCGATTTTATTGTGAATATCAAGTTTCCAAACTTTAAAAAACTTGAAGTGAACTTACTTCAACAAATATGAAGATATCAAGACCACACTTACGTAAATTGGTCGCAACCTTTCTGTTAACAATTTATTAAAACTTAATTAATACTGTACCTGCCGTCATCAAAACAAGGTCAGTCATATTTAGCAATTAGTGTGTACACGTTTTTGTCTGTATGACTTGTTATGTTTCAAGGTCTTGAAAATCGCGTTTTTTTTTTTTTTTATATATTTGGACTTTCAGAAGATATTTTAGATGTTGAGGTTTCTCTTTTTTTGTGTTGTTCTTAAAATAAAAATTAAAGCTAATATTTAATTTTCGAACAACTTATGCCATCATTGAGGTAGTTCAGAAGTTGTATAAGTTAACAAGGTATAAGTGTCTCTGTTCATACTTGTAGTTCCAGCATTTTAACAGAGACATATGAAGACGACACAGAAATTTTAGCAAGACACAAAAACCCAACATACGCCTCACAGACACTTGGTTTGAACTCTGGGAAATCCGAATAAATCAAGACAAATCACAGCACATTACGTTTACTCTTCGGTTTTCCTTGACAATACACAGATTCCACATACAGGCAATGTCTACTACCTTGTTCTGACATTTGTCCTAAAAATTAGATGAGGCCCTCATATCACGAAAAAAAAGTCAAAAACTACGACTTCTAAATTCACTTCTGAAAACACACAAAACTACAACATAGACTGAAATTTAACACATACAATTATCTACAAAAACCTATTTGGATTACGCATCATAGATATTTAGAACAACTAAAAAGACTCAGATAACTCTACCTCTACACCACTTACGGATCCAGGATTTAGTTATGGGGGTTTCAGCGCGAAAGCTTTTTATATATATATAACAATTATTACTTTGGAAGAAAAAGAAAGAAGCTAAATACCTATAAGAAATGACGTTGAAGTTATTCTAGAAGTCCTATAAAATGCAATTACACGAACAATAACATTTTAAGAGATAATTTTTGTAACATTTTTTTCATAAGATATGCTTATATTTTACCATTTGGGAGGGACGACTTCAGCCCGAAAGCTCCTTCCCATAAGCCCGCATGTGTTCTACACAATCGCTCTACTTTGAATACTAGTAGGTACAAGGGCATTGAATGTACCGCCGATACATATACAATCAGTTTTTATAACAATTAAATACTGGTCAACTTCTATGAAACTTTCTAAAAATAATTATTTAGTGCTTAAAATGAATATTTAAAACTGTTTGAACACTATGAAATATTGATAGACAGTCTTCTAGTTAATCCAATACTTTTATTGAAGCTAAAAATCTTACCTGATTAATCCATCCGCACGGGCAAGTGGTAGCCTTTTCAGCAAGCGCTGGAAGACAGGTGGATGCAGCAACTGCTAAAAAAGCCAAGGCTGGAAAGCACATCTACCGTAAACCAAAACACAACGGATTTAGAAGTATATACAAATATTCTATATACTATGTAGGAAGGTAAATAGCTTACTAATTTTTTACTTTCACTTACCTATTTATGTAATATATAGTAAGGTTAGTATTGCGATCGTGAAAATTTTCAAATCTGAGTTTTCAATGGAAATACACATTGTGAGGTCCTCTGAGTCGAAATAACCAAGTCTCGCAAAATGGTGTGTGTGTGGTCAGCCTAGCTAAAAAACGAAAAGGCGTACGAAACTGAAATTTGCTTATTTAAGGTTTTTTTTTCCTGCGATGTCACAGAAACATTTTCGTCAAAATTGGCCAACCGGAAGTGGTGCTTTTTATGAACAATGTTACATATTTTTATGATTTTTTCAAAAGTGGCTCCGACGATTTTGATTAAACTAAGTATATCAGTTTATTATTAAGTGGTCTTTAATATCAGCTAGGTCTTATCCCCATTGATGTCACTTTAAAGGCTTAAATGCCAAATGTCTTTTTCTAAAGTACCTTTAATTTGATTTATTTTAAATAATTAACTGTCAATGTTAGGAGTTATAAAAAAAAAGGCTAAATATAACTTTTGAAAGAATTTGATAAATGAATAAAGGATAAAAAAAATTCTTATCCATGTCGGCATTAATAGTCATGTGGTATACGTGTAATCCTTCTCCAATAGTTCCAATCTTTTCTCTCACAACGAACCCAAGCAGTTGCCGTTCCCAATCAACCGCTATCTGCCTACCTTTCTTTATCCTCCCGACTTGCCCATGGATCAAGCGTATCTCTTCTCCTTTTCAGTTCCTACATTAATGACCTACATCATTCAATTCCCCATTGTTCCCATCACATTTATGCCGACAATTCTCAAATCTACCTATATCCTTTTCTCTCCCTGCTTTGTTGGTATTAGTTGCCAGGATTCAAGAAGATCTTGATGGAATCAGTGTCTGAGCAAATGTGAACGGATTAAGGTTAAATGCTCCCAAAACTCAGGCCATTGCAATCTGTTTCAAGCCTCTTCTTAGATTCTATACCGACTGTCCCATACTAAACCTTAATGAGCAACCAATATCCTTCTACTCCGCTGTTAAAAATTTAGGATTTTCCATTGATCAAACCCTCTCCTGGAATCACCATATTTCTCACATCTCCCGACGGACAATTTCCCCCCTCAAATTACTCCATCACTTCCGCCATCTCCTACTTCAACATACGCGTAGACTCTTGGTTTCCTCTTTTATCTCCCTCACATTGACTAAAGCTGTGTGGTGTATGATTGACTCTTGATGGAGCTCCGTGACAAACTGAAAAGACTAATAAACAGCTACGTAAGTCTTGTAATTGGTGCCCCGAGATACTCCCATGTCTCTCACCACTACACTGAGTTGCTCCTTGTCATGTTATATGCAATAGATTATAGTTATTAACTGTTTTCATTATGCAAGTATACTCTCAAATTCTTAAAAATAAAACTATTTAAAAAAACAAGTGCCCATGCTTTGTAGAAATAATTGTTGTTAAGATGACATGATACAGGGGAATATAGGTGCAGTTGTTTGCTTCTTAATTGTTTGGAACCCTTGGTTGATGTGGCGTGCATTACAAAAAATGTATAAAGTCTCACAAAGGGTATTTAATGCCTAAAATACAAATATCTTATATTGTTTTATTAAACTGCATAAAATGTACTTACTTCTTTGTTGAATATGTGGATAGAAGTCAGAAGGAAGACATATTATGAAGGTCTCTTATACCCCGTCTAGCAAATATTTGCTTATGTTTCATATAGACAATTATATTAATTATTCATATTTAAATGAGATTAACACTGTTTGTTTAGTTTTTTCTATAATTAATTCTTCTATAGCTATCACTCATTCGAAGGTTGATCAATGTCAGTGTCATATTTTGGTACACCGTGGCCAGAGGTGACCACAAGGTTTTATGTCGCAAACTGGCCCATATTTAGGATTGAATAGTTCCAAACAAAGATACTAAGGAAATGCATGGGAAAAACGTCAGCGTGTTATTGTATATAATTTACGGTACTTTTATTTTTAATGTTTTTAAGTCGTAAACCAACGACTTCCTGTCCTACAGTTTCCTTTAACAATACTTCACTTATCCCTGTTGAGCAAATCCGATTCCTAGGACTCCACCTGGACAAACGACTAACTTGGAATCCTCATACTAGACTGAAACGACAAGAAACCGCTCGACGTTTCCGATTACTTCAGCACTTACTAGACAAACGCTCTAAACTTCCCATTAATTACAAAATACTCATATACTTGACTATAATAAGACCTATTTGGACTTACGGAGTTGAGCTATGGGGCTCCACTAAACCATCGAATTCCTCTCGCATCCAATCCTTACAATCCAAAATCCTTCGTAAAATCCTCAATGCTCCTTACTTTGTCACTAATAAAATTATCCATAAAGATCTTAATGTTCCTTATGTTTCAGATCTGGCCCAATCCAGATACCTATCCTTCCATAATAAACTTCAGAATCATCCCAACCCTCTCGTTTCTAACCTTGCTTCCTCTTCAATTCCTGATAACCCTCCGAGGCGTCTGAAAAGAAGATGGCCCCGTGATCTCCTAATGTAGTCATATCATTAGAGTGCTACCATTGGGTAGTTACTCAGCAAGTGTATTCATGTCATTATATCAATTATGTCCAAATTTACTTGATGTATTTATGTAATACAGTTGTAAATGTCATAAAGAAATAAAAAAAAAAAAATGTTTTTAAGAAGAGGAGAGCAATAAAATATCTTGGGGACGGTAGGGAGGTTCATGACCCAACGATCTTTTGGAAGGGAGGCAAGGGTGCTCGTGGCAGCCAAATTTTGAGGTATCCTAAGTCTTTCATCCGCGCATGTAGGGAGGTGTCTCTGAGGTGACGTGATGGGAGCTGTAGGAAACGATCGCACCACACGTTTCATATTACAACAAACTTGTCCATGTACTAGAGATGGTCATCGTTAGTAGATAATATCGACATATCGATATTTTTTTTATTTTTGGCTGTAGAGCTGAATAGCGGGACACTTCATAAAGTTATAGCCATAGGACCCGCACTAAAATTCATTCATTTCGAACATACATGATTGATTTCGGAGATTAAACTCAACTTGCCCAAATTTGTTAAAACTTTTTGAAACCAAGGCCACGAATCGTCAAATAAATCTATGTGGGATGCAAATAAATTAGCATTTAGCTGAATCCCATCTATGTGTGAATAGAAGGCAGAATTGGTCGAATGGAAATTTATAGAACAAAGCTGAGGATGACGAAGATGGACAGGAATCAGGAAATTAATTTTACTAACGAGGGTTGAAGAATTAATTAATTGATAATTCTGTTAATTAATTTAAAGATAAAAATATCTGGTGTGTCTAGTCACACGACTTTCCTATCTATTTCAGAAAAGTTTTTATAACTTTACGTTCATGAAGAAACAAAAAAGAATTGAACTAGATTTATTTTCCTGAAAATTGATCAAACAAAAGATTTGAGTACGATTTATTTGATAAACTAAAGCAATGCAAACCGGCTTAAGGTAGATCAGTATAAAAATTTCAATACTCACTAATATTGCTGATCAAAATTTTTTTGCCATAGCTTAGTATTGTTAAACAATAATTTCTGTTAAAAGTAGAGGAAATAGTGAAGATTGTGTGATGCGGGCAACAGATTTTATTACTTTCACTTAGTCATCTCTAACTTCGTTAATATTTGTCCAAAATGAACGACTTTTATATGGCTTTGTAGAGAATTTCATTACCTTTCAAACGACAGGCTAAACGGCGTTTCAACAATAACAAAAAGTGTTATATTACTGAAACAAAGTTGTTAGGATTATGATGCTCAACTCCACTAGGCAGTAGCGACAGATTTGTCAAAAATATTAATTGAGTAGTTTATTTTGAAAGTGGCCCTAGTCCATGTATACTTAAATTAAGATATTTAAGGGTTTGCGTTTCAATACAATTAAAAATATACGTATAGAATACTAATGAATCTTAGCACTTAACTTTCTCTAAAGGAGTTACATTTAGAAAAGAAAAGAATAACAAAATATAAAATAAGAAGCCGTCCACTAGTTCCTCAGAAAATCTTGGCACAGACAGACAGAACAATGGCTAAAAATGTGTTTTTCGGACTCAAGGGACTTACACGGTGGGCCAGACCCCCTTACCCTCCCTCCCCCCCACATCCCTATAAATTGCATATCGTTGTGTTCCTTGTGACAATTTATTAAAAAAAAGCCAATGTTCCCACAAAAAGGAGTGAACGAACTGCCCCAAAATGGCGTCCAAACATGGCGGATTGACGACTTTGACTTTAGTTAGTTTTTTTGTTACTGAGAATCAGCATTTGGCTTAATTTCATAATAGTTGGTCTTTTATTAAAGCTGGATAGTCATAGAATAATAAAACATGAAAAAATATTAAAAACTAATTGGCTTAGGCATTAAAAAAAATCGGTAAAGTCAAGTTTTATTACAAAAAAATTTTCAAGTTGAAAATCAAGCGTCGTTTGTAATTAAACGGTCAACAATAATGCAAAACGTGCTGAAATAAAACGTCTGGAGAATACATTTCTCTTTCTAAAACACTGATTACTTTTTAAAATATTTGAAGTAGTTCCGTATAAAATGTATATAAGCGGCAGAAAAGCGCTACTGGCGTAGGTGCCTCAGGCCTCTACCACACCACTCAGTACTCATAAATGGCTTAGTTATAGTGCTATAATAACGTTTTTGTTATATTATATTGATTGTATTAACGAACAAATATTAATAAAATAATTTAATGGTCAAAAAAAAAATTTTTTATTTTATAATTATTTTTTTTATTTATTATTGTTTATTTTTTAAAATTTAACTTCCTTTATTCTATACGGAGGTCGCTTAAGAAGTCCTCTATTATAAAAATTATATAATTATAATAATACAACTTAATTAAAAAATACTTTGCAGAATATCTTGAATGTTTTATTTAATATTTGCAATTTAACATTTTGTTTTTATATATTTGCTGATTCTTAGAGGTAATTTAAATTGTATATACTTCCCCGGAAATGAGTCATATTAATATCTGTTTTATAAACTAAAATAATATATACCTAATCTGAACTACTTTTAATGAATAGGTGATGGATTGTTTAGTAAAATTCATATATCGTTATAAAAAAAATCATTTTTATTTCCTTAATTGTATTCGGAAGTTAGACCATATCATAAAAAATATGAACTTTTAATATTAAATGCATTCTTCCCTCTGCACAAAATAAGGATGGAAAGGGCGAAGCTATAAGTTCTTCTAGGTAACTGGAACTGATTGTTAGTATTTGGTCTCAAAATGAGGGAAAAAGCGAAATTGAACCCAAACATTGGAAAAAATACATTAAGCGAACGACGAAGGAAGTGCCAAAATTTCGGAAAAGAAAACAAGGATCAGTATCCGTTATAAGGCTAAACGAATATGTAGTAGAAAAATGAACAGAATATTTCAAGATGCTGCTAAAAGGGGGTCAAAATGCTTGATCAGTTTGGATGATATTAAGCAGGTTTATTATGGTGAAGACCATTTCATCAGCAAGAAAGATTTGTTCTAAGCAATTTGCAAGTCAGCTGGTCTGGACGAAGTAACCCGAAATGCTGTGCGTACAAAGGCTATAAATGTATTAGAAAATGATATGAAAGGACTGTAGTTTTGTCCCTTTACAGGAAATGAGATACTAGGAAATGTTATTCGAGATTCCTTACTGTTTATAGTACCAAAGAAAGTCAAAGTGGTGAAGCCATTTCATCTGCAAGAAAGATTTGTTCTAAGCAAATGGCAAGCAGGTCTGGAGGAAGTAAACGAGGTTTATAATAATGAAAATCACTTTATTTTAGATTGCTATTGAAGTTGCACGTTGGGACTATCTTCACTTTGAAGCAGGTTATAGAGAGGTCTATCGATAAAGGAAAATAGCTCTCCTCCTGTTTAGTGCAATTGCAAAAGATTTTTGAAG